GAGAAATTTTGAAAAATGTCACTTTTGAAGTGCCACTTTTCAAAAATGCCACATTTTCAAAATCTTTGCAAAAATGACGCTTTTTTAAAAATTATTTATTCATTATATTAACTAGGTGAGTATTCATAACGTGTATATGTATATATATAACATGTTTTTTCAATGTTTTGATTTTTACTTTGTACTCATAACATGTATATATATATATATCAATATGTTTTTCTTTTTTTGTGAAAAATAAAGCTTAATTATTATTTGAAAAAAAAAAACTTAACTAAGAAAAAATGAAAATGATCTTGTTTGTCGTTGTTTGTTCTAAACCAGTATGGTTTAAGGCATATACCAAAAAATTAGTGACAATTTTAGGTTCAAAATTATAACAAATGCCGAAGAGCATGAGCTTAGAGTTTGTTCATTTGCATGGTAGAATTGTCTTTTAATAGGAAATTTTGAATAATTGTAGACGTACGTTATGTTAATAGTTAGCTATGGTTATTCAAATGGATTTTGTAGCGTAGGCATGATCGTAATTCGTTGATGTCAATGCTAATCAATATTCTCTCTTTTGTGTGTTTGTGTAGCGGTACCATTTAAACCAAAGATAGGTAGATCAGATTGTATTGCTAAGAACCACGTCTGGCCAATATGAACCAAACCAATTCTAAGTTAAACTTATTCACGGTTTAGACCGTTTAATGAGCTAACCCTCAAACTTATTCAACGTAGGAATTTGAACGAATTGAAGATTCTATAAATTTCTAGTGTTATTCAATAAGACATTTTATAGATTCTTTTAAATTCCACTGTTATTCAGTTTAATGATTTCTCAATTTTTATCAAAAGCTAGTGTTATTTAATATTTTTTGGTATTCATGGTTAATGTCATTTTGAAATAATTTAATAGAACATTCAATGAAAAAAGTACGTGAAGAACCAATTCCTTGCTATTGAGGTGTTATTTGGTAAATCTCTCCTACAAAACTTATAAAATCTCTCCTAAAAAACTCCCCTCAGTCATCCATTTAACTATAATATATGCACAAGCTACTATAGAAATTTCACCTTAACAACTTGAAGCACGTTAGTGGATGCAACCAAGACATATTATTGTGTGACCAATCTCAATTCTGCTATTATTGTCAACTTTCAATTGCTCATGCTTAGCCACAATCTTCTCCTTTGTCATTGTCCATGTAAATATCTCTCTGAACTTCTAGCGAACAATCCTCAAATAGCATGATACTTACTTGATGGGACCACCATCCTCAAAGAAGGAAAGCATAAACCAAGTCATCACAGGAAAACAAAGTCTAACCACTGAATAAGTGCAAATCTCAACAAAAAGGTTATAATGATTTCTAAAATCATATGACTTGTGTTTGTTTTGAAGATCGTACAACAATTTTATTGGGAGATTGGTTTTACGGCGTGGTTGTTTGCGACGTCTATGGCAGATGGAAGCCTAGATCATGTTTCTTAATTCACATGTTGAAGAGCATAGTTGGTCCTAGCTGCCAGTCCCTTGCGCTATAACTTTTCTCGAACTGCACATTCAATAATGATGAACCGGAAGGAGTAGATATTGGATGGTTCATTTTTATTAAGAGTTTGAGGATAAGGAAAAACTTATTCCTGAAGTAACTGAGAGATGTTCATTAAGAATTTTGGTAAGCGAAGGTAAATGCATGGGTCACATGTAAAGTTTCCTCAGAAGTAACCATCATTGTTTTTGTGGGTGTATTTTTTTTTTTTGTCCAAATAAAAATTTATGAATTGCTAAAACAAAAAAAAAACGTTATGGTATAGCTTGTGCTTGCAAATTGAAACCAAAAAGGAATAGCAATAGAGGAGAAGCTATTTGTGTTCCAGAGCTTCAAAAGTACAAAACAAAAACCAATGACTTTAATTTTCTTCGACTTCAGATTTTTAATACCAAATCTATTCTCCAACTATTATTGCACTCCCCAAGTATCTCCAAATCATACGTTCACAATGTCTTGCAGAATATCCGTTATAAACAAAAGAAGCTTGTCATCATTGTAATGGCTAATAGAAGT